TGTGCTAGGAACTTCCTTCTCGGGTTAATCCACCTTGGAGCTTCAAACTAAGAGTCCTAAGGCCTAGTTGCTTGACTCATGCTTTTCCAGACCTGAATCCACACCCATGTGTACAAGACTTGAAGGAACGAGTGTCCACCTTACATCTTTCATTTTTAGCTTTGCCTTCCTCTTTTATCATGTGCTTTTGCACTTATTCTTTTTTTGGGGTTTTCACCTCCTTTTTTTCTCTCTTTTTTCTTTTCTTTTGATTCCATTTTTTTGAGGAAGAATTCTTTGTGCATTGGCACTTTGTTGTTTGGCTTTTTTCACCCTTATAGCCTTCAAATCTGTATCATGTGGTAAGATTTAAACCCATCAAATTTCTGAGTCCTAAGCCCTCTTCCGCAATTCACTTCTTGGTTTCTCTTGCCTCCAAGTGATCCCTTGTGCTTAGATGATCCCTCCATTGGCCTTTCACCTTAATGGATTTTTTCCTTCAAGTCCTACTTTGGTATCCATTTAGACATTGGCTTAAGATCACTGACTTTCACTCTTACACAAATGCTGTAGCAATTCTGTAACAATACAGATCATAACAGAATAGACAGAGATACAACAATACTTCATCAGTGCTATGCTAAGTCCTTTAGCATTCTTAACATTCTTAACTCAGCATCAGTATTGAGTTTCCTTCTCATTCTTAACTCAGCATCAGTTCTGAGTTTTCTTCTTGAGTTCCTTATGTTCTTTTCATGTTTTGCCTAACTTCTTTAAAAAAGGGAGCAATTAAAAATAAACAAAAATTAAACCTATGTAGCATACAGATTCCTTACTAATATTTTTCAGTAGGTATAAAAAAGATATAGATAAGAAAGGAACAAGACAACCTGGTTTGTCACTGAATTTTCAGAATGATGGAGTCCCTTTGTTGTTGGGACTTCAAACTCAATTTCTTAAACAGGGTTCTTGTGAAAATGCTTTGGGGGACTCCAAACTCAGCTTTTTGCTGAGTGCTTTCAAGATTTCATTCAAGAATTACACTTGACTTTCTTCCCTTTAGCACCTTATTCCTTCTACCACAGCTATGATGTAGAAGTGTTGTAGCAATGTTGTAGCAGTGTTGTAGCAATGCTGTAGTAGTGGAACCTTAATTGCCCATAAATTGCACCCGCATCAACAAAAATAATGAGTGTAGAATATGTTTGCTAATTTATCCTAATCTAAAAATTGAAATTCAGAAATTTAAATGCAATAAAACTAAAGAAAAGAATAGAAATTTCCTAATTGATTTGGGCTGTCTCCCAAAAACGCTTGTTTTATAGTCTTCAGCCTGACTTTGATTGATGATCAAGGTGGCTTGAAACAAAGGAAGAAGAACAACTTTGAATCCTTGGTCAAATTCTTCTCGCATGTAGACTCCTCCTTCATCTTGACCTTAGGATTGCCTTTATCTTGGTCTCCATTTTTTTTCAAGAATTAACTCACTCTTCCACATATCTTCCATAACCTTTGGGGTATCAAGGCATAACTCTTCAAGATATTGAGGAATAACTGGGTCCTTCATCATGTCAAGGATCGCAAAATACAATGGGTGTGCAGAGTTGCCTATCATCACATTTTCAACAACATCAACTGATATTTTCATGACTTAACTAGGCACTTGCAAAGTCATCTTTGTAGACCTTATGCTCTTTATTCCCATCTTTTCTAGTAGATTCATGGGCATCAAATTCGCATTAGCCTCAATATCACATAAGGTGCTATTCTCTTGCACATCATCTTGTTGCTTCTGAAGTCTTTGAGGGAAGGGAGATGGTGGTCTAATTGTCCCGTTGACTTGCCGATCAATAAAAGTCATTGGATGTTTTGATCGCAATTCTTTCTTCCTAAATTTCTCTCCTCTCTCATTCTTTTCTCTTAATTCTAAGAAATTCTCCTTCATGTACCATGCTGTTCGATATAAGACTTGAGTTTTGCATCTTCTTCAGGCAACCATGGTCCTTTCTTGACGTTGGCTTTGTGATAGCATGGTCCTTTAATGATAATGATAATCGATTAAATAAAGATTTTAATCGATTAAATATTCTGAATTTTAATCGATTAAATATCTCGAGTTTTAATCGATTAAGAGGAAATCCTTGGTCAATGTTTTATGTATATTTTAACCATTTAACCGATTAAATATTTAAGTTAATCAATTAAAGAGGAACAAGTTGATAAATAGTTTTGGACAAAAAACAAAATAATTATTAATTAATTAACGAGAAACAAATGAGTCAAAAAAACCAGAAAACACATCCATCATTCCCTAATTTATGCACGATGACTACTCGAGGTTTTTTTTTTATTTGATAAAAGAGTTTTTTCTTGTTAATTGTTAAGGGAACACTCTTTTTCAGTCTTTTTTTTTTATATTTATTCAAGAATTTTATTTTTTTATGATATTTTTAAAAATGTATATAAAAGAATCAATCTATCTTATATATTTTTTTCCCTAAAAAGGTACACCTGTAACCTATCTTACAAGACGCTAGCTTTTTCAAAGACCTATAGCAAATCTAAGACAACACGGCACTACAGGAGACACTGGCTGTGAAATTTCTGAAATGTTTACCATCCTGTGCTTGCAAATCAGCATTTGATCCTTGCTTCTGAATCTGCATTTTGATCAGCAAATAAGGTGATGTTTGGATGGGCTTTTTCTAAGTGAAAAGCTGTTTTTTCATAACAAAAAAAGTGCTTATGGAATTTATGTACTGTTTGGATGAAAGCTTTTTAAAAAAGCAAAAGCTAATAAAAAGTTAAATTTCTCCTTTTTTTGATAAGCTAAAAACTTTATCTTTTGAAGGAAGCAGAGGCCAAAAGCAATTTTACACCTTATTGTTTCTAATCCCTCGCCCTTCCTTCGAAGCCATCTTTGCCATGATCCTCTGAACAACCCTAACCCACTTGTATCTGACTTCCCAATACTAACATCCACATTGCTTGGCGGAGATGGCGACCTCGGCGGCACCCCATCCCCATGGTGAAGCCACTTTCCAGAAAATTAGCTTTAGGTTTGGCTATGAACAGTTCTTATTGGTTTGCTTGTTTCACTACGACTGAGGATTACAAAAGAAAGTAACGATGCATTTGAATTTTATTGTATAATTGAACTTGGATGTATTTTACCAAGAAAGTTGTTTATGATATCTTCTTTTTTTTTTGGTAATCGTAAGGCTACAGCTTCACAGAAACTAAATTAAATTAATTTTGCGAAAAGAACAAACATGAGAAAAGTCTGCTAGATACAGCAACCAAATACAGGGAGAGAGAATGGAAAACACATAGATTATTTCCATTGGGTGATCCGGTGGGAATTTAGATAACCAATCTGCGCAGCTATTGCTCTCTCTGTAGGTATGAGTAAGATGAACCTCCCAATCTTTCGCTAACCATGCTCGAATGCGAGTCACTAATCACGGCTCTCGAGCTGCTCCTCCATCTTTGGTGAGTAAAGTGATAACAAATTTTGAATCACTTTCTAAAATAATATTCCTCCAACCTCCTTCCCAAGCCAGTTCTAAACCTTTAAGAACGCCCCCAAAGTTCAGCTGTAAATGCTGAACATTGTCCAATATGGTATGCAAATCCATGAAGCCAATCACCTGATGCATCCCTAAGCACTCCACCACAAGCAGCTCCACCATATGGTCTCCTAGATGCCCCATCCGTGTTGATTTTTATCCAACCCATGTATGGAGGATTCCAACCAACCGAAATGAATGTAAGAGCCCTTGAAGTCTTGAAGCCTTGTTTCATTTTCCAGCAATCAGAGAATTCCCTAACCTTAAGCTTAATTGTTTGGGCTTTGTAGGCATGCTCATCTGTCTCATTACCGTGAACAATTGAATTTATCCAAGTCCAAGCCATCCACACCGCCACTACAAAAATTAAGGCCCATGGAGCATTGAATCTCACATAGGATTCTTTTTTCAAATTTTCCAACAACCATCTATCAAGATCATGGTTAAAAAATCCAGGAATCAGATCTGAGTTCACCAGATCCAACCATACCTTCTCCATGTTGCTGCAATCTCTAACCATGTGAAGGATAGTTTCATCTTCCACATTGCATAAAGGGCATGTAGCAGGGGCTAACCTTAAATTCGCTAACCAGCTTCTAGTTGGTAAACGATGATGAGCCACTTTCCAAAGAAACAAACTAATCTGTTAGGTCCTTTAATATTCCAAATGTGATGCCAAATCTCTCGTTCCTCCAAGATGATCTCATCCTGTTCCCTTAGAGCAAAATACTTTGTTTGACTGTGCTCCCATTTGATCCCCCAAGGTTCCAACAGATTTTATAAATCCCATTAGATGCATGAGGAGGAAAAAAATTCTAATAACCTGAATAACCTCCTCTGATAAGAATTGTTGCATGGCATCCGTATTCCACTCTCCATTTAGACTCACATAATCCATAATATTTTTATGGATTTCTGTCTGTGGGATAGGAGTTATAGCTTTGCTGGCCAGATTTTGATCATGCTCCAACCACTTGTCTTCCCAAAATTTAACAGAAGAACCATCCCCAACATTCGAAATTAATCTGGGTTTGAGTTTGTGCCAAACATCACACATAGCCATCCAGAGTCTTGAGCAACCACGTTTCGACATAAACTCCTCCTGACCATTAATAAGACTGTTGTATTTTGCTTGTAGAACCTTAACCCAAAGATCGCCTGGCCTATTTAAAAAGGACCAAATCAGCTTTCCCATGAATGCCTCATTCATTGTTGATAACTTCCTCAGGCCCAAAACTCCAACACTCTTTTGTCTAGAAACTTTATCCCAGGAAATAAGATGCAAATTTATTTTTCCCTCTGAATCTCCCCAAATGAATCCTCTTTGAAGCTGCTCTAACTCTTCACAAATAGATTTTGGGATCATAGTACTCTGCATATGAAAAAAGGCATCGTAGATAAAACTGACTGAGATAAAATTACTCTACCCGCTTGAGAAAGGGATTTCCTATGCTATGCAGACAACCTCTCTTTAACTCTATCAATAATTCCAGAGAATAGATTCTTTGTCACACGACCCTGTTGAATCATCGCCCCAAGATATCTCCCCACATTTGTTACTCGCTTAAAACCACTAATATCAATGATTTTGTTAGCTATGTCATTCGGAGTATTCTTCGAAAAGAACACAGTGGTTTTTTGCTCACTCACCTTTTCACCAGAAATTTCCCCAAACAGACCAAGACATTGGAGAAGAACATGAATCTGATCATCACCCAAAAACATATATTTCAAAGTTTCAGGCAACTCCTTCAATACAACTTTAGGAACAGCAGTATCTTTGTCAGACTCTTTGTGTTCAAGAACCTCAAAAGCACCACCAACCTCATCAGCGAAGTAGACATGATCACGATCTTTCAAATCTTCTTCAAGTTTCTGCATAGGAGTTTTCTCTTCACAAATTGCCTCCTCTAGGACATCCACTCTAAAACAGTCACCGCCTTCATAAGGGCGTTTCATACAATCAAAGACATTGACTGTAATTGTATCTTCATTCATTCTTAACACCAGCTTCCCGTGTTCTACATCAATCATAGCACGAGCTGTGGCTAAGAAGGGTCTTCCCAACAAAAGAGGTGTTTCATGCCCTGCTTCCATGTCAAGCACCACAAAATCAGCAAGAAAGATGAACTTATCTACTTTCACAAGAACATCTTCAATTATACCACTGGGCTTTCTCAGAGACCGATCAGCAAGCTGAAGAGTAACCATTGTAGGCTTCAACTCAGTAATCCCCAAGGACTTACAAACAGACAGAGGCATAAGATTAATGCTAGCCCCAAGATCACATAGTGCATTGCCAATCCTGGTATCACCTATCTCAATAGGGATGTTGAAGCTTCCAGGATCACCAAGCTTGGGAGGAAATTTTCTGGTGATGATAGCACTACACTCTTCAGTAAGTGCTACAGTTTGGCACTCTTGCAGCTTGTGCTTTTTGGACAGGAGATCCTTCATGAATTTAGCATAATTTGGCATGTCAGCCAATGCTTCTGCAAACAGAATGTTGATATGCAGCTTCTTGAAGATATCAAGGAACCTGTCATAGTGCTTCTTTTTCAACTCTGGCTTAAATCTGCCAGGATAAGGGCCCATCTTTTCAAGATACTCCGGGCTCAATTCAAACTTTTTCTTTTCTACCATTACCGGTTGCTCTTTTTCTTTGCCAGCCTCATCAAGGGGTTTCACTACTTCAGGAGAATTATCAGTGTCTTTCTCAGAGTTATCAACCTCTTCATTTTTCTCCTCAGCAACCACTTCAACTATCGGCTTTTCTGGTGGTGATAACACTTTACCACTCCTGGTGGTTATTGCCATACACCCCTCCTTTGGATTGGTAAAAGTATTGCCAGGAAATGTGCCTGGTGCTCTGTCAGACAATTGTTGAGCCAGCTGCCCAATCTGATTTTCCAGGTTCTTTATGGAAGCTTTAGTGTTCCTGGCATCAGCTCTACTTTCCTCAATGAAAGCATTGGTAGTTCTTTGATTGGCTCTACTCTCCTCCATAAAAGCATTTGTATTTTGCGCCAAAGAACCAACTAACCTTTCCAAATCTGAAGGCTCCTTTTGTGGAAGAGGAGGTGGCTTCAAATAGTTGTCAGACTTCATATCCAACCCCGTGCCTTGATAATTCCGCCTCTGATAGTTGTTACCGCCAGCAGAATAGCTCTGATTTCTTTGAACATTTTGCTGATTAGGACGCTGGTCATACCAAACACCATTTACTTGCAGCTGTTGGGAAGAATCTGAAGACATCAGTGTTGGACAAGCATTAGTATCATGATTCTCATGGCAGAATTCACACTCAACACCAACAGCACTGGCCTGAACTTTTGACAAATGCAGCCTCTCAAATTTAGCATTCAAATTAGACATTTGTTGAGATAGTAATTTCTACTCAGCCAAAACAGCATCCTGATCATTCAATGGCACCACTCTTCTTTTACCCATCCTTGTACTTGTTTCATTCTCATTCTTTGCCAATTTATCAATCAACTGGTAAGACTCAGAAGCTAATTTATCTCCCAAAGAACCTCCTGCAGCAGTATTCACCACCAATTTAGTTTCAGGCAGACACCCATTAAAGAAAATTCTCACCTGATCGCCTTGAGATAGGTTATAATGAGGAACCTTTCTCATGAGCGCCTTAAATCTATTCCATGCAGCACAGATTGTCTCTCCTAGATGTTGCTTGAACGATGTAATGTCATTCACCATGTTATTATACTTCTCCATGGGAAAGAACTCTGCAAAGCATCTGTGATATATGAATACCTATGTCTAGGACATGCATATAAAATCGCTTTATCCCCTTTCAGAATCAAAAACCCCAATATGTCTACCGCGAGTTCCTGTTCTCAAATTTATCGTCTACCATCAGATTGATCAATTCTAATAAAGAAAATAACAATTCGCTCAAGATAAAGACAAAATATATAGGTATAATTAAATATAAGAGTAAAAGAATTCAATCCATTGTATCAGGGGTTCACATAGGGCTGTGACCCTAACCGCAATAAAAGAGACTAGCCAACCATAATCATGTTGGCCATTACAAAATGATGAAAATCAATTGTTCTTACGAAATTTCTAAGAGAAGAGATGAAGTTTCCTTCCGAGAATCGCACGCGCTTCGCTCCTTGAGTTCTGACGACCACCGACTGTCTAAACCCTCAGCCTTTCTTTTCTTTTTATATTTCGCGTGACTTTCCACAATTGTCCTCCAAAGTGCCACAGACGATTTCAAATTCGCACACCCGCGCGGGCTTGCGCCGGTTGGCGCGTCACCGCGCGACATCTCTGGTTTCGAGCGGAGATGAGTTGCATTCGGCGCGATTCAGCGCCGCTTGGCGCGGTCCCGCGCCGGATCTCGGGTTCTAAGCCCAGGATTCGTAGCTTCTTCTTTTATTTCTCTTTCTTTCTTCAAAGTCTTTTTGTTTTTCTTCTTTTTCCTATAAAAAACATGTAAATAATGTGAGAAGAGAAATCTGAGATAATAGAAAGCAAAACATCAGATAAATCTCTACTTTATGGCTAAAATCCTAATGTTTTTGGGCTTGGAAACCACATACGCCAGAGGAATATCAACTCCACAGTTGAATGGACTTGCTGAGAGGATGAATAGAACTATTGAAGAGAAGGTCCAAAGTATGTTGTCCAATGTTGAATTGCCGAAATCATTCTGGGGAGAAGCCGTCAAAACAGCTGTTGACTTGATCAACCTCTCACCATCACGACCACTTGAAGGAGAAATTCCAGAAGAAGTCTGGACAGGTCGGAAAACGGCCTATAATCAATTGAAGGTGTTTGGATGCCGAGCTTTCGTGCATATCCCTAAAGATGAAAGGGCAAAACTTGATGCGAAGACAAAAGAATGCATCTATCTTGGTTCGCCGAGATGTGAGTTCGAGTTTTGACTTTGGGATCCAATCAACAAGAAGATCGTGAGAAGTCGAGATGTGATCTTTCATGAGCATGAGAACATTCATGACATCTCGAAGCCCAAAGTCCGAGTTACGGTCAGACGCGAAGAACCCAATCCTCCTGTCCGAGCTGAAGTAGGGGGAGAAAATCAAGAAAATAAAGAAAATGATGATCAGCAACAAGCTGAAGATGACCAAGACACTGAGGTCCGAGTTGATGATGAGATCCGGGATGAGAATGATGAACCGGGTTCTCAAGCTGAAGAACAGCTAAGATATCTAACTCGAGAAAGAAGACCCTATACAAGATACCCATCTGATAAATACACCGTTGTTGCTGAAGACGGTGAGCCTCAGAGTTATGATGAGGTTGTGACGAGCTCAGACAAAGAAGAATGGAAAAAGGCAATGCAAGACGAGATGAAGTCTCTGCACGAGAATTAGACTTATGAGCTGACAGAGTTGCCTGAAGGAAGACGAGCTTTGAAAAATAAATGGGTTTACAAGATTAAGAATGAAGAGAACGGGCTGAAGCCGAGATACAAAGCCCGTATTGTAGTGAAAGGCTGCAATCAGAAGAAAAGAGTAGATTTTGAGGAGATTTTTTTCTCCTGTGGGGAAAATGACCTCGGTCAGAACCGTGTTAGCCATGGCGGCTTCGATGGACCTCGAGGTAGAACAAATGGACGTGAAGACGACATTTCTTCACGGTGATTTAGAAGAAGAAATATATATGGAGCAACCTGAAGGATTCCAAGCTCCAGACCAAGAAGACTTGGTATATCGGTTGAAGAAGAGTCTCTATGGCTTGAAGCAAGCACCTCGGCAGTGGTACAAGAAGTTTGAATCATTCATGACAGATCACAAGTTTGAGAAGACAGAAGCCGATCACTGTGTATTTGTGAAGAGGTATGAGGCCGGATATTTTTTGATTTTGTTGTTATATGTTGACGACATGCTAATGTAGGGAAAGACAAATCGAGGATAGCCGCCCTGAAAAAGGCGTTGAGCTCGTCCTTCGCAATGAAGAACCTCGGCCCTACAAAGCAGATACTCGAAATCAAGATTATCCGAGATAGACAGAAGAAGCTAATGTGGCTGAGTCAAGAGAAATATATTGAGAAGATTCTGAAGAGATTCAGCTTGGACAAAGCCAAAACAGTGAGCACCCCCCTTGCCGGACACATAAAGCTGAACCAGAAGCAATGCCCGAGATCTGATGAAGACAAAGATGAGATGATGAAGGTCCCTTACCAATCTGTTGTCGGAAGCTTGATGTATGCAATGGTTTGCACTAGACCCGACTTGGCGTATGCTGTTGGAATGGTAAGCCGATATTTGTCAAACCCCGGCAAAGAGCACTGGGAAGCAGTGAAGTGGATTTTCAAGTACCTCCAAGGTACGACCGACTTATGTCTTCGATTTGGAGAAGGCAAAGCCGAGTTGCAAGGCTACTCGAATTCTGATTTAGGGGGAGATTCTGACTCGAGGAAATCGACGACGGGATACATGATGAGATTTGCCAGAGGAGCTGTCTCTTGGCAATCAAGACTTCAGAAGTGTGTTGCACTATTGACAACTGAGGCTGAGTACATTGCCGCTACTGAGGCAAGCAAAGAGATGTTGTGGATGAAGAAGTTCCTCATGGAACTCGGCCATGATCAAGACAAGTACGAGCTGGGTTGTGACCATCAAAGCATAATCTATCTTGCGAAGAATTCAACCTATCACTCCCGCACTAAGCATATTGATGTGAGGTATCACTGGATCCGGGATGTGGTGGAAGGTGGAGAGCTCGAACTCGTCAAGGTGCACACTGACCAAAATTGGTCTGACATGATGACAAAGCCGGTTCCAGCAAGGAAATTTGAAGACTGCTGTGAAGGAGCCGGGTTGATGCTGAAGCCGATGCATTGAAGTCGGAGGGGGAGATTTGTTGGGCTTCCTCCTTCAATGCTAAGCCCAAGCCCATTGAGGAGTTTCCTAAAAATCCTAACCCTAGATCTCACCTCCTCTATATATTCATTAGTTGTGGGTGGAGGCTAGGTTAAGTGAATGAGAGAGAAAATTTGAGAGATAAATATTTGATTGTTTGAGCAAAGCTTTATGCTTTGCATTTGAGAGATCTCTAGAGAGAGTTTGAGTGAAACATCTCTAGGGTAGTTTGATTATCACCATTGTTGGAGAGGTTGAGTTAACCACCACATTGGTGTATTCTGATTATTTTGTAACCATTATTTTCATAGTGGATTTTTGATCTGGACTAGGTCCCGTGGGTTTTTACTTCTTCATTGGAGAAGGTTTTCCCACGTTAAAAATTGCTTGTGTTCTCTCTCTCTCTCTCTCCCATGTTTACGTTTTGATTTTTCCGCTGCGCTGCCCGACCTGGTGAAATTCAGGCGGAGGTATTGCTGAGATATGAGATCGAGGATCTCATTGACTGACTTCCAGAAAGGCCCCTGAGCGGATCTGAGGGAACCGAGTTCCCAACACGTATATAGAATACGACAGAGTGAGTGAGAATCATATTTGCAAGTAGCAGACTACTGGTGCTTGTGATGTCACTTCACGTTTGTTAAAATGTTTTATTTGTCTGAGGCATCAACATATTTTTTTCTCATAGGTATTGCCTGGTAGTAATAAGCTGCGTATTCCTATTTTGACTTCAGCTCTATTTTCGGAAAGAACAAAAAATTTAGGGCTCGTTTGGTGAATATGATAGGATAAGAAGAATGGATAAGATAAGACAGTTAGATAAAAGTAAGATATGATATGGAGCTGATAAGCTTATATCTTGTCCTGTGTTTTATGAGCACCTGATTAGCAATCTGATAAGATTTTGTTATCCTATCATGTATTTGAGGCGAACCAGATATCATCAGGATATGATACAAATAGACTATAATACCCTTTTTAACATACTGTCATATAATTTATAAAAAAAAAATTAAATTTTTTAAATTTATTTATACAATTCTAACAAAATGCAAATTTTTTATATTTATACAGTTCCAAGTGATCGATATTATTCAAATGTCTTACAACTAATTATTAAAGAAATGTAAATTTTGATTTGAAATTCCATCAAACTTTGTTTTTTGGTGAAAAATTCTCTCAAACTTCGAAATTGAGTCTTTAAATCATTAAAATTAAAAATTAAAGAAATTTGTTCTCTTTTAAGATAACCCAATTCAGAAATTAGGAACAATAAATCCTTGAATTAGGGTTCTTGTGGAGAAACAAGGTAGCGTGGGGGTATATTGGGTATCCAATTTTGGTATCCTATCCTATTGAATTCTAACCCAGCTTCCCCCATAGGATAAGAAATCATGTATTGGATAGGATAAAATGAGTCAATAGGATAAGCTAATCATATCTTATTGATCCACTAAACAAGAGATAAAAGTCAGATATGATAAGTTATCATATCCTATATTTTTTATCAGATACTCC